TTGCAAACACAGAGCTGCTTCTGCACTGAATGACGGTAGCCTTTCTGAGCTCTGGTTTGACTCAGGGCACAAGCAGCTCATTAACCATCAGATGATTCAGCACTTGGTGCCTACATTTCTGCTGGCTGGTTTTCATCAGCAGACTACAGCTTTGAAGGTGAATCATTTATATGATACCATCAGACACCTGAAGAGGCACACAGGTGTCAAGTCCCTCCAGCTCCAAGCCAACTAGTTTTATGTGATACAGACTGCTCTTAAATTCTCCTCTTCGCTATGCAGCCTTATAATCACATTCCCCACAAAAACTCTGACTGTAACAGTCTGCAACTTTTTTCCTCCAGCTCTTGCAAAAAGAAATCACGCACAGAGAAGATCTCAGTTCACCGAGAAATACTTGTAATAGGTCCTTAGCAGAGGAAAGACTCCACATTTCATGCTCAGAAGAAGAGAGGAGGATTTTAGTCCCACCAAAGCCAGCCATGCAAGAAGTGCTGTGGTCCCTCCCCGCCCCCTACAATCCCTTCTAATTTACTCATGGCCTCTAATCTCATTAGAGTTCCTATAATTAAAGCACCATAATATCTGATCAAGAATATAGTATGCTGTCGAAATTAGCTCACATGAAGTCTTTTAATATAAGAATGACTACTACAAGAGAATTACAAGATTTACAAAATAAAGCATCACTAATGAGCACAGGATCCAAACTGGATTATCAAGTTTCCTGCTTTGCATGTAGAAAAAGCAGGCAGCAAGGTTTCTATAAAACTTTTACAGCTGTTTTATAGGAAAAATGAAACAAGTACAGATACAATTATATACATATTTAAATATTTATTAAAGAACAAACTGTTCTTTATAGATGTTAGGAAACAGCAAATGTTATTTTGGTCTAGTTAATACTTGCTAAAAAGTAAGGAGTGAGATTGTTGTTCTGAATAGCATTTGTAAGGTTTACAGATCAGGGAGATAAGAAAATACATATAAATCTTAGCTTCTTTACCAGTCTGCAACAAGTTAAATATAAAAACCTAGTTAAACTTTAGGTCTTCTCCTGCTCTTAAGTCAAAAGTCTTCCTTAACTATTTGTTAATTTTCAAAGGAAATTTCCAAACAAATCCCAACCCCACCCCAGACACACAAACAGCTAAAAAGCAAAACCAGAAGCACATTCTCCCTCTGACTTAGATGTACAAGCAGCTCAAAGAGGTTAGGAAGTCAATCACTCATTTAGCAAACCTATATATGCACAGTTTCTGAAATAACCTGAGTTTGGTGCCATGTTAAATGGGGAGAAAGATGGTACGTGAAGGAGATGTGAATGTAATATTACACCTGTGAGATTAGGTGTCCTGGTTCTTTCTCCCCTGTCCCCAGTTTGTATGCTGGATTTAAGAGTATAAAACCCACAGCTGAACAGGAAAGGGTTCTTCCACACTTCTGACCCCAAGCTCACTCAACATACCTAAGAACCCATGGAGACTGCCCTATCCTGAAAGAACACTGGCCATTCAAACAACCACACTCTTCAGCCTCATCCATTTTACATTCATGATTAAGCATAACAAAGAACAGCTCTGGGCTGCATCCCTTCCTAGAGACAGGGCTTGCTAGGACCTGACTCAGGCTTCCTGGGAACCCCACCACATTCTGAGCTGCAAAAGCCACCTCTTCTGTGATAACCCATCACCATCAATCACCTATCAGTTACCATATCATCAATTTCTCTGAGTTCAAGTGAATAAAGTCATGGAATTTTTTTGTGAACGGTAGATGAACTGGTCATAGTCAGACTCCAAGGAGCCCTGAGGGGTCTGTGATTATCAGGCTGTGAAAGAGAATAGCTAAATTGAGGCAGAGGTAAAGTTATGCAATTTCCCCAAGTCAGGCTCCAGATCAGGCTGGGCACTCCAGGCTTGCAGGCTAAGCTTCTGCTTCAGCCATTAAATCTTTGAAAGGGATTATGCAGCAAGGTGCCAGTGATAAGAAAGACTGGATTTGACCTCCAAGGACCTTCAGATGTGACATTCCTAAAAACAATTACCCTCATTTTCCATCATGCTGGTAACACTATGACCAAACTCTGCAGCTGAAGTATTTTCATCTGGCATTCTTAAAAAGAATGCCTAAAACTTCAGTTGATTTTCTGTTCTATAAAGGGCCCCAAGGCAGAAATTTTGAAGCTCTTACATGTTTGCATAGAAGAAAGCAGAGTGCATTAACAGGGTTTTTACTTTGCTACTCCATTAAGCATCATTTCAGAAAACATAATGAAACCATTGTGAAGAATATAGCTTTCTTCAGTGAGAGGACACACACAGACATTAAAGGCAACATGAATTATTTTAAGTGCTATACTTCTGCCAACATACTCCACATTTTCATCGTAAGACACCACTCCCCCAGAGTGGTAGAGTCAGCCAGTGTCTTCTCATACAAAGGGCACAGACTGTTATTTCTCTGACATGGAAACCAGATCTAAACAATGTATATTGCTGCTTGAGGTTTTGTTTTTCAGTTGGTTTTTGTTTGCTTTCAACTTCAGGTACATTGTTATATCAAGCTGATTGATATATGAAAATATGCTAAAATTTTCAAACCAAAACAGCTTTTCAACACTTACTCCTTTTGAACTTCTGGTAAATTTTCTTTTTAATTTGCTACACAAAGTGTGAAGTCTCAAAGCTGAAAGGTGACTTGATTTCTAACCTATACTGGCTTTTCACTCATCCTTCCCTGAAATTCCCTTAACATAACTGACATGGTGAAGCCTTTCTCTCTCCTCAGGATGACTCACAGGGTCCTTCCACAGCACAAAGGAAAGACACATCACCTCTTGTTCTTAAGAAATGTCACTTTCTTACTCTTTTGAAAAAAGGAAGATGGGAAAGACCATATTGGAGTGTTGTTATATTTTGTTTCCTTTTTCCCTGAAGAAATTTGTCAAGCAAATAAAATTCTGCCTGGTCATAACAGCATCCATAACAACATGCCCACAGAAACACTCTGCGAATCTCACTCCCCAACATCAGTATCCCTGACGCAGACATCCTCTCCTCTGCTTCTGTATCCCTGCCCCATCTCTTACATACAGAAGTACCCATATGGCTATCTTTCAATAGCTGCTGGGATAAGTTTCATGAGTGCTCAGCAACAGTACTGGCTTCCTTGAAGAGGTAATGCCTGCATCTGCATCCAAGAGCTAGCCAACACTGAACCCACTTCATAGGGCATAAACCTGGTTCCCAGGCCAGCCAGCTGTTTCAGCCACCAAGCTGCTAGATCATCCTCCAAGAGTCCAGCCTAAACCAGGCAGAAGATTTTTTCAGTGTGGTTTAAGATGTAGATAGATATGATAGATCACATAACTCATTAGATCACTGTAAACTGCAGACACCTGAAGAAGTTATAGAAGACCACTCTGACATCACACCACATGGCAACTTCCAGCTTCAGTGCAAGTCAATATTCTGACCCACGACCCCAGTGGCAGATACAAAAGTGGCACAAACATGCACTGACAATACACTCTAAAAACTCATTGAGAGTTTCCAGTCCACCACTTACAAATCAAATAGTTCCAGGCTCTCTGCACAAAGTCTCAAGAAGGCTTATTAAGTGCTCCTGAATTTCAGTGTTACAGGAGACATACAAAACATAACTCTGCGTTTCCCATCCATCAGTTCCCATGTTAAGCTCTTCCCTGTTTAATAAACATATCATAAGTGGTTCATAAAAACCCTAGTGGGTTTACTGTTAGCCTGAACAAATGCTACCAGCACCAGCAAATGCTACACAGGCTACCAATGCCCAGAGCGGAGCATGTACTTCGACTAGCATGTGCAATTTCCAAGCAGTCAAATGTATTGTGATCAGAACAGGCCTGTCAACTATTTACAGAGTGCAGGGGTAGCTGTAGCCATCCATCCCATCCCTACACACAGAGCCCAGCAGGAGCACAAACCACCCCACCACACCTCTAAGCCCCAACAGTGTAAAAATTCATTCTACCACCAAATTAGCATGGCTCCACTGGGCACATCCCAAAAGTTTCTGCTGAATAAAAGCATAAAGATGGTAAGCAAAGGGTTTAGCTCGTTTTGTTTCTCCCACAACTTCCCATACCCATAACTTCCCCCATTGCTCTTCGGATTTAGGGTATGACTCCACTAGCAGCAGAAACAACACACAAGTGTTCTGTGATGCTAAACTAGCTACTGAAAACACTAGTGAAGACAGAGATTTGCTTTCAAGCTGCTGATTTCGGTTCGAAACAGCAGTTCTAACTTATAAAACAGTGACAGAGATGTAAGCAACCTATATGTGAGCCTACCTACCCAAGGAGGAAAAGTTGTGTTGTCGATTTTTTTTCCTCCAAATAAGTTCTCGTTTACTGTTGTAATTGTGATTCTTCACGAAGAGTCACACACACAAACCAGATACACACAATATTTTAACCTTTTATACACGGCATAAGACCAAACGCGATGTATTCTGAGACGATCAGGCCAAGAGGCTCACCAAGGGCCCGAACATCCGCAGGTCAGAGCGGCAGCACCGGGGCTGCGGGAAAAAACCCCAGGAGCCCTCCAGGAGCTGCCTGAGAGCTCACAAACTTCGTTCCGTATCACTCCCTGACCTCCTCTTTACAGGAAAATTGTGCCGGCCAGGTAACAGCAAAAGTTTCAGAAATTAAAGAGAAAATCTTTGTAAAGACGGGAAGACCCTGAAGACACAGACGTGACCAGCCCGACAGCTACGGAACAAGGCGCAGACAAGCGCTCCTGGAACGAGCGGTCATTGAATCAGCGGCTCGCACGGAGGTCGCGGCCGAAGGCGCTCTGTGCGGGACGGGAAAAGCTCCTGCCCGCACCGCCCCGCACCACCTCGCCCAAGCTCTGCCGCTCGGCGGGCGCGGAGCGGGGCCCGGAGCAGCGCTCAGCCTGCGCCCCGGGGCCGCACGGAGCCCCCCCAGCACGCCCCGGCAGCGCCCGTACCTGGGAGCTGAGGTACCGCCGCAGGCACTCCTCGCACACCGCCTTCTTGCAGCAGGACAGGGGCTTGATGGGCTTCTCCTCCAGGCACACGCGGCAGCTCAGCACCAGCAGCGGCCCGAACTCGCCGGCGATCAGCCCGGAGAAGGGCTCGGGCAGCAGGTACAAGTCCACCACCTCGATGCTGCCGCCCGACGACAGCGGGTCGTCGCCCGGCACCACCCCGCGCCGGACCGGGGGCTGCCCCACGCCCGGGCCGCCGCGGGGGGAGCCGGTGGCGGCGGCCGGCCGGTCGTTCTCCACGCAATAGACGGTGCAGTACACGTGCCGCCGGGGGGGGCGGCGGCGGCCGCTGCCTCCCTCCGGCCCCTCCTCCGCCGGGGCCGCCGGTTCCCCCGCGCCCGGCGGCTGCTCCGGCCCGGCCGCTGCCTCCGCCTCCTCTTCGGCCCCTCGCCGCTCGGGGTCGGCGGCGGGCGGCCCCAGCTCCCCGCCTCGCCCCGGCCCGGCTAATCCACCGCCCGGGACCGCCTCTCGCAGCGAAGGTGGCTCGTCCGGGCCGGGCTCCCGCGGGACCCCGGCCGGGCTCGGCAGCGCGGCGGCAGCGGCCGCCCGCGGGGTGCTCAGCGAGCTCTGCTGCTCCCCCATCGCCGCCCGCCGCCTCTCCTTCCCATCCAGCCACCTCCCGGCCCCGCTTCTGCTTCCGGGTCCCGAGCCCCGCCGCGCCGAGCCCCGCGCCGCCCGCCCGCCCGCGGGCGCCGGCCGCCGCCGCCCGACCTCCCCTGGAGGGCTGCGGGCGCGGGGGAGGAGCGGCGGCAGCGGCGGGTGCAGCTCCGGTCAGCGCCGCCCGCGGGGTCCCGGCCGGAGCCCGACCCCCATGCCGGGGAGGACGCGGGCAGCCGGCCCTGGTGCCGCGGGGCAGCGCGCCCGGCCGCGCCCCGCACGTCACCGCCCCCTGCCCGCGGCGGCCGCCCCTCCGGGAGCGCCTGCCCCGCCCCGGCCCGGCCCGGCCCCGCCCGCTCTGACGCAGCTGCTCGGCTGCGCCACTCATGGAGCGGTAAACAGCGCGTGTGTGCCCGCACGGCACCGCCTGGCACACGCACCGGCAACACGAGGTGCTACGCCGCGCCCCACGCCCTTCTCTCCGCCGTGTGCCGGTACCTGGGGCCGGGCCGCATCCCCGTTCCTTCTGCAGGAGTAGCGTTTACCATCACTCCCCGAAAATCGTCCTCTGCTCGAAGGCGCCGGCGGGGAAGCAAACATCAGTTTAAATTTCAAAACGCCTTTGTGCTCCCGGAGTAGTGTCCTCGGACCAAATTGTGAGGGTCCGATTAAAAATCATCCCCAAAGAAAACAAATTGTAGCGAACATCAGGGGTGCCACTGTGAGAACTATGCACTAAAATCAAGGTGACATTCACAAAAATAATTAAAACTGTGGAAAAGAGGTGTATCCACACAGGTCCAAACTGGTATCTGCTTGTTTAGGTACTCACAATTAAGGAGATTAGAGGAATATATGCATGTATTGGTCTGAGAGTTGGCCAGTATGTCAATGCCTCTGCTTGATGACAGTATATACAGGCCTTGACATCATCAGTTACATCATCCCGTAGAGCAGATGTCATGGAAGTGTTCCTGCAGGAACTGAGTAACTTAACAGGGATTGTGCAGTTTCCATCCTGAACTTTATCTAGAGTGTTAATCAGAAGTTAATCAGTTGCTCTGCTTGGGATTGGGCTAACCAGGGTGAGAGGAGGAGATCTGCAAGTGTGGAGATGACAGCTGAGGACATCAGGGCTGTCTGCATGTCGTGCCGTCAACCCCAGTGAGCTCATGAGCTCAGACTCATGCAAGGAGCATGCTCCATGTGTTTTCCTGTCTCCGTGTTTGAGCTCAGCAGCCCAGCTGCTCAGCTGCAGTGTCCCAGAGTGTGGGGTGTTGAAGACACTGAATGGAGCCAGCCCAGCTTTGCAGGGCCCTGTGTGGCACTTATATATGTGTGCAGTCTGGGAAGGAGCTGAGCCTCCCAGAAAGCCACAGAGGGAACCTGACCTGTCCTACTGAAGGCTGTCAATGGAGGCATCCCAGGCTCTGTGTGGCAACAGACAGCATCTGCTGGCTTGGGGGGCTCTTTGTCTTGAAAATGCCGTATTTCTTCCAGGCCCAATCAGACCTGAGGGTCGGTGGAAATGAATTTGTGCAATGCCAGGCTGTAGTTACCCTCCAGAAAAATAACATAGAGGAATTAGTTATTTTAAACAATATTTTTAACTTTTCTTATATGAGCCTCTAGAGTTTGATTCCAAAGCTTACTTTGAAAATATGAAGTGTAAAGCTTCTAATGAATGAATGAAAATCAGAATTTCCTGCAACCCTACCATACAGGAATCTGGAGCTTAAAGAAAACACTAGAAAAACAGCATTCTTGCAAAAGCAAGAATTTTGCTCAGCTATTAATTCAGAAAGGTTTGTGCTAAAGCACAGCAGGAGAATTCATGAAAGCAATGGTAATTGTACTTGGCTGAGGAGAAGCATTACATAAACAGGAGTTACAGAATTGCCCGTGCCCCACCAGCCTATGGACTGTGGATAGATAGTTCAGTGACCTGTGCCCAACCATGTGTCCTGCTGGTGCCAGCTGTGAAGAGTGAGCAAACATGCCAGCCCAGTGCTCCCCATTCTGCCTTGCTTCTGTCTTGGATGGTGGGACCAGCCCTGGCTGGTGAGGTCTTGCCTAGCTGCCCCAAGGGCGCCCTGCCATTCTTTGACAAATGAATGCTCTGCAACAAGTCTCTGCCATATGCTATATATATTCTCTCAGGCATATTGAAGAAGTATGAAATTATGTAGTAGACAGAAAAAAATAGAGGGCTGAGGTCAACATACTCACTAGTATGTACTGATGGCCTTTCCCACTGTGCCTTTACACAGATTCATATTCGAATGACCTGAAGGGAGAATCTTCTCAAAAAGACTACCCTAGCCCCTCACAGGCCCCCAACAATATGACAAAATAGGATGTTGTGTTGCATGGCACTTGCTTATTCCCCAAGAGAGCGGTCAGTGAGGGGTGCTGGTTTCTGTTACTTGGTGCACTGCTGGTAGGTGCCTGAGTGCATGAAGCAGGAGTCCGTACAGGGATGAACATGTGGTTCCCGAGGATGTTGCTCTGTTGCTGACTGACAGCCTGCATGATGTGTCTTAGTCTGGCTGTTGCCCAGGTCTTGAGAAACTATGAGTCAGATTTGCGTACAGATTGACTCTGTTGCTAAAACTTTCCTGGTTTAAAATGAGATTTTAGATCCACACATTTTACATTCTCCATAGAGCATGTCTAGGCTTTAAATAAAGGCTTATGGAAGATATTAAAAAGACAGCAGCACTATTGGATTTGTGTAAAATAACAGATTAAAATAAATTATCCTAGAGAGATAAACCTCATTGTCACCAAACTATTTGGTTTACAAGAACTTCATTGTGTTTGAGCATGGTTGTATAGAACTGAGTCTAGTTGCTTGAAAAATTGCTTTTCTCCCTGTGATGTACCGCCAAGGCAAACTCCACAGAGATTCACACATTTGAACTCTGCAAATGAAGTATGAAGAAGCAGTTGGTGGGGCGTTAACTATCTGTGAGAGATCCCCAGTTTTGGAAAGCTCTATCCACTGTCATCCACCAGAACCTGGATTTGCTTACCTCTGGGAATGCAACAGATCCATTTTTTTTTCATTGTCAAAATTATTGGAGGGTTTTGTTTGAATAGGTATGTTTATGGGTGGTTCTTTTACTCATGTCTGATTTTTAAATTTCACAGCTGAGATCCAGGGCAGGCACTTGTATTTTCAAATGTTTAATATAATTGACTGCCATGGTTCTGGTAATGCCTGAATTTAGGGTTGATTCTTTACTTCTTTTTAATTATTCACACTGAACAAAGAAGTTGTGGTAGCTGTTGCATTACTGAATTAAATTTATCCAAATTTGTAAAATATTCCAAAGTATTTTCTGAGAATTTCCATCCTTCCTTGTTTACCCTCAGTTCCTCCTTTCCTCCCTTCCTTTCTTTCCTTTAATCAAAGAGCACAGGCTTACATAAAACTTCAGCAAAAGAAAGTACTAGGCTATGCAACATACAGACAAACTACAGAATTCATTATTACACACAATCACTGAAGCAGTTCTATAATGAATTTAAAAACTGATTAGATACTTTCAGCAATGCACAGAGCTAAAGCAGAATGTGCTGTCTATATCATAGATATATTATATATATAACCATCTGTGTCATGTATATACACATATATAAAAGGAGGACTCAATTTCCCAAGGGTGTAGTTCTTGAATTTCATGGAAATTATTTTTATTAAAAATAATTAATGTTGTTAGGATGAGTAATTAACATTCATTCTTCTGGGTTTATGCTGATGGCCTCTGAGGAAATTTGAAGACTTATTTTCCTATGTATAGCAGTAAGTAATTGGCAGGATGGCAGGATGGTACTGGGTCATTGGATGTAGAACTTACTTTGGGGGGGGATTCTTTTTTACCTTGATATTAAGTGTTTTTTCAAGATATTTAAAATTTTCATTTTATGTCTGGCTTACCATTGCAAATGTATTCTGAGTATTTTGTAGAATGTCTTTAAACAAATGTTTATATTTATTTTGAACATGAAATAAAAACTGATGTTCTCATGTTTCCCCTTCAACACTTGTTATACTCTGTACACTCCACATTTAATATATTGTCTTACATTCTCCAGACTATGTCTCATATATACTATTTATTCTCTGGATATGGTCCTGCTTTCAAAAGTTGTGAATTGGCTTTGCTGGCTTGACAGTTTTCACCAAAAAATGCCTATAACCTTCTGTGAGTAAACCTTGTGGCAAGGGTACAGAAGTCATGGTACAGAAGTCATGGCAACAGTTTTCTCTGACTGCTCAGCAAGAACAGAAGCCTTGGATCTTCTGCTTCATCTGCAGTTCTGAATTTAGGTGGGATGCACGGACACAACTTACTTGGTGGTTGTATAACTCACCTAGAAAAATCCTTCTAACATCTGAATTGTGGTCCACAGAAGAAGGTAACCTTTCGTGGTACTTGGTTTTAATGGTTATGCAGTATGATTCTGCAGCTAGGAGGAAAATACAGTTATCTCTTTGGGCTTCCATCCATCCTGTGAGGTGAAAGAATCACGTATGCTCTACAGAGAGAGTAGGTTAGAAAAAGGCATGCGCTAGCATAATTTCTTATGAACATCCTAATTAAATCAGGAAGAATGACTGTGTGCCTAGTTTAATTGTTGCAGTATTTATTTTGAAAAGAAGCTTGTGCCATTATTTTTATCTAGCACTATGGAAACAACCTTCAAAACATAACTGTGTATCTTACACATTGCCTGAACAGATCAAATCTTTTGCACTACTTATGTGCTTACTGTAGGCATCTGGGCTAAGGAGAAACAATGCTTTTCTAGAATTTATGGATCTTTCCAAACAGATCCTATCACTGTCTTAAGTTATGGTTTGAAGAACACCTAGAACCTTGATGCATCCTTCTTAATTACTTCTCTTGTTTTGGAATGATATATCCTACATATGTCTTCAAAATCCTTCTTTACACGTGCAATACTGATTTTTTTCTTGTTTCTCTGCCTACGTTGCTAATTTTTTAGT